TACAAAACCCATTCATTCCTACTAAAAACATTAGAAAGCATAAGACTAAATGGAGCTATTCTTGAAATGATGAGCAGTATCTCTCTAAAACTAAGAGCAAACATTATCCACAACACAGATAAACCGGAAGCCTTCCCAAGAAAATAATATCGGGGTGAAAGCAGGACGTCCATTATCATCAATCCGTATTACTCAATATTGTATTAGAAATAACAGTTTTATCAGTAAGACAAGAAAAACAAATTGAAGTAATAAGAATAGGCCACGAGGAAACAAAACTATCACAATTTGCAGATGATATGATGGTATACTTAGAGAATCCTAGAGAATCAACTAAAAAAAAACTAGCTGAAACAATAAACAACTTTAGCAAAATTTCAGGATATAAAATAAACCCACATAAATCATCAGCATTTCTATTACAAACAAAACTCAGCAAGAAGAAATAGAAAAAGAGATTCCATTTAAAATAACTGTAGACAATGTAAAATACTTGGAGGTCCATCTGCCAAGACAAACTCAGAAACTCTATGAGCACAATTTTGAAATACTTTTCACATAAATACAGATCTAAACAACTGGAAACGTGTCAAGTGCTCACGGACAGGCCGAGCCAATACAATGAAAGTGACAATTCTACATAATTAATATACTTATTCAGTGCCATACTAATCAAACTACAAAAGAATTATTTTATAAAGTCTGAAAAAAATTTCACTTGGAAGAACAAAAGGCCAAGAATATCATGAAAATTGATGAAAAAAAAATGTGAAGGAAGGCAGCCTAGCAGTACCAGATGTCAAACTATATTCAAACAAAGAGGTAATCATCAAAACAATCTGATACTGGCTAAGATATAGAGTAGTGGATCAGTGAGACAGAATACGTACACAATACATAGTAATAAATGACCATGTTAATCTAGTGTTTGGTAAACCCCAAAATCCAAGATTAAGGGGCAAGAACTCACTATATGACAAAAACTACTTACTGGAAAAACTGGAAAACAGTATGGCAGAAACTAGGCAGAGACAAATATCTCATACCATATACCAATATAGTGTCAAAATAAGTATGTGATTTAGACATACGGGGCAAAATCATAAGCAAGTTAGGGGAGCATGGACTGGTTCACCTATCAGATCTTGGGATACAGAAGAGTTTGTGATGAAACAAGAGATAGAGAGGATCACAAGAGACAAAGTGCATCATTTTTATTACATGAAATTAAAGTTTTTGCACAAACTAAACCAACACAGCCAAAATTAGAAGGAAAGTAGGAAACTGGGAAAGAATTTTTACAGCAAGTTTCTCTGATAAAGACTTCATTTCTTAAATATATATGGAACTGAGTCAAATTTATAAAAATGAGAGTAATTCCCCAATTGATAAATAATCAAAGGATATGAAAAGGCAGTTTTCAGAAGAAGAAATCAAAACTATTAATAATCATATAAAATGCTCTAAATCACTATGATTAGAAACATGCAAATTAAAACAGCTCTGAGGTTACCACCTCACACCTATCAGGTTGGCTAACACGACAGAAAAGGAAAATGACAAATGCTAGAGAAGAAGTGGAAATACTGGAACACTAATGCATTGCTGGTAGAGTTGTGAACAGGCCCAACCATTCTAGAGAACAATTTGGAACTATGCCCAAAGGGCTATAAAACTGTGAGTACTCTTTCACCCAGTAATAACACTGTATGTCTGAATTCCAAAGAGACCAAAGAAAAGGGAAAAGAACCTAGTTGTATAAAAATATTTATAGCAGCTCTTTTTGTAGTACCAAAATTGTAAATTGAGGGCATGGTCATCAACTGGGGAATGGTTCAACAAGCTGTGGTATATGATTGTAATGAAATATGATTGTGGTATAAAACATGACATGGGGATGGTTTCAGAAAAACCTGGGAAGACTCATATGAACTGATGCGAAGTGAAGTTAGCAGAATCAGAAGACTACAGTACACAGTAATAGGAATATTGTAAGGATAATCAACTGTGAAAGATTTAGCTATTCTGATCAAGACAATGATACAAAATGATTCCAAAGGACTCATAATAAAAAATACCATCCATCTCCAGAGAGAGAACTGATGAGTGCAGATCAAAGCAAATTGTTTTTCACTTTATTATTTTTTTTGCAATATGGCTAATATAGAATTGTTTTTTATTTGACTTTACATGTATCATACTGCTTGCCTTCTCAATGTGGAGGGGAGAAGGAGCAGGGATGGAGAGAATTTGGAACTTGAAAATTTTAAAGAATGTTAAAAAATTAAAAGAAAAAATGAAAAATTGAGTCTAATAAAAAAAAAAAGATAATTTCAAAGAATCCAGGGTAGATGATTTCAAAGAATGGGTGTAGTGAAATGAGCAAAACCTGAAAAACAATTTTGCAATAACAATATTGTAAAGAAAAACAATTCTGAAAGAACTCTGATTAAAGCAATAACCAACCATGTCTCTAGAAGACCAAGGATAAAAAATATTACTCAACTCCTAACAGAGATGATAGACTCAAAGATGTGGAGACAGAAATACCTTTTTAAACACACCAAAGTGCCAATTAACAAGCATTTATTAAGCACTCGATAGGTGCCAGGCACTGTGCTAAATGCTAGGGATACAAAGAGAGGCAAAAACACAGTCTCTGCTCTTATGGAGCTCACATTCTAACAGCAGAAGCTACACAAAACAATTTTGTACATACAATATGTACTGAGTAGATGAGGACAATCTTAAGGGGAAGGAACCAGAGGTAGTGGTAGCTGGGAAGAGACTTTTGAAGAAGGTGAGATTTCAGCTAAGTCTTGAAAGAAAAAAGGGAAATCAGAAGGCAGAGGTGAGGAAGGAGAACATTCCAGGCATGGGGGACAGCCAGTGAAATGGGTAAGACAAAATACAGCCTTGTGTTGGAGGAATGGCAACAGGCCTAGTGTTGCTGGATTAGAGACAACTCGGAGGGAGTCCAGTGTGAGAAGATTGGAAAGGTTGGTCAAGACAAGGCTGACAAACAGGAAATCCTATATTTGATGTAACAAGCAAAAGGGGGCCACTGGAATTTATTGAGTGGGGTCAGTCTTGTGTTTGAGGAAAAGTCAACTTTGGCAGCTGAACAGATGGTAGGTTGTAGAGGAGAGAGGAACTTGAGGCAGGGAGTCCAAACAGAGGACTGCTTAAGTAGAACAGCCATGAGGCTATAAGAGTCTGTACCAAACTAGGGGCCATGTGACAAAAGGGTACAAGTGATGTGAAGGTAGAAACAACAAAACCTGGCTACAGACTGGATATGTGGAGGTGAAGAGGGTGGGGGTTTCTGGGGTGCTCCTAGATGCACAGAGGCACCCCAAGATGGCGGGAAAAAGCCCAAATCGCAGCGCAGATCTGCCTGAAAGAATTCGACCCAGATTTTCTTCCAGCCAGAGGAAAAGTTTATTAAAGATAAGCATATAGGCCAGACTCCAAAGGAACCCAAACATCAGTGATCTAAATGGGGGTTAAGGTGGTCAGGTGTGGTGTGAGGCAGTCTCAACCTCTTGGGCATGAGGAAAGCTCAGCGTCTGAGTGGGGGCTAAGGTGGTCAGGCCAGGTGACGCTCCTTAGCAGCAGGCATGGGGGATCTCAGCCTCTAGGGGCATGAGTAGTTCCCAGCAGGTGAGTGGGAGCTGGGGTGGATAGGCCATGTGGTGCTTGTGAGGACGAGCTGGCAAGAGCCTCAGCCTCTAGGCTTGAGGACAGCCCAGCATCAGAATGGGGGAAAGGTGAGTCTTAAGTACAGAAAGACTGGGGGAGTGGTCTAGGAGTGGCCAAGCAGTTTGGAGTGAGGGGAGGAGGGGGTCTAAGGAGATCTGGATGGGAGTGGCTAGTAAGCTGGGATGAACAGAATTCCTGGGTCCCTGACCGAGTGGCACCTAGCTAGGATTAAGGGTGGCCAGAGGAAGGGGGGTTGGTTGGGTCGGTTTGGAAGGTAATAAACAATGAGAACAGATAATGAAGGGAACTGAAAGGGGGGGAAGTTTGCTTTCAAATGGAGATAAAGAGAGACAAACAGAAGCGAGGTTCTTTTTGGGGCCAGGAAGGAGAGCACATTTGAATAAGCTTTCAAATTGAGAGACATAAAGTGAGTCTACAAGGAATCTAAAAGTTTTAAGGTTTTTCTGGGAACTGTAAACAAGGAGCCAAATTCCTTTCGGTGTAAAGGGGCAAAGGTAAATCTCTTCAGAGGGAGTGAGAGATAATGATATTAATGATAACAGCTAGCATTTATATATTTATTATGTACATTTATATTTCTAAATTTATGTAAGTGTATTAAATATAATTTATATAAATGTTTATTAACATACATTCATCTTCATTACAGGTTTAATAAATATATATTTAATAGCATATTCATAAGTACAGTTATGTGAATGTATTTATATGAATAGGTATGTTTATACTAATATATTTATATAAATATTTTAATGTATTTAATAAACACATTTATATGAGCTAGGTGGTTCAGTGGACAGAACGCTGGCTGTGGAGTCAGGAGGACTCTCTTCCCGAGTTCAAATCTGGCCCCAGACACTTCTTAGCTGTGTGACCCTGGGCAAGTCACTGAACCCTGTTTGCCTCAGTTTCCTCATCTGTAGAATGAGCTGGAGAAGGGAATGGCAAACCAGTATCTTTGCCAAGAAAACCCCACGTGGGGTTACGGGGAGTCATACACGACTTAAACGGCTGAACGACATACATTTATGTGAATATATATTTAATAAATATATTATTCTATATTTATATTTTAGGGTCATATTTTATCCTCACAACCCTGAGAAACAGATGTAAATAGCCCTACCTAATAGGTGAGGAAACCAAAGTTAAGTGACTCGCCTCGGGTCACAGAACCCTTTCCCAAACTCACTGGGTCTGGCTGTACGGCTCCCGCCCTTCGGCTCGCCCCTCCCCCCGCCCCTCCCCCACGCACCGCCCCTCCCCCACCCCCTCACCTTCCAGGAGGCGGAGGGGTCGGAACCCGGCGGCGCCTCAGCAGCGGCCCCAAAGCGGTCGGTGCCCGCGGGCACGAAGCGGCCGTAGCGCTTCAGGGGCCACTGCTCCGAGGCGCAGGGAGGAACCTTCGCCGCCCGCTCCATGGCCGCCGCCGCGCCTCGTCCTGACTGTGGAGCCCCAGCGACATGCCCCGGGCGGCCCCGCGGCCAGCCAATCCTAGAGCGAGCTCCTCCTGGCACCGCCTCCCGGCCTGACGGCGGCCAATGAAAGGCCGCATCCTGGGCACGCGCCCCCTGGCCCGGGAAAGCAGGCACGTGGCCTCCGGGGCCACCAGGCCGTCGCTACTAGGCGTTTACTTTCCAAGCGCCTCCCACGTGCCAGGCTGGATGGGAGCGCAGGGGTGCGAAAGGGCCAAGACCGCGCCTGCCCTCGCGGCGCACACAGTCTGACAGTCTGACAGGAGAGACGGCCAGCCAGCATGTACAAACAAGCCCCGCGCAGGCTAGATAGGACCTGTTAAGAGGGAAGGCCCTGGAACTGAAAGGGATTGGGAAGGGCTTCCTGGAGAAGGGCGGGGGGAGGGGGGGTGTTTAGGTGGGACCCGAAGGAAGCCTGGAGGTGGATACAAGGGGGAGCATTCAACGTGTGGACCACGGCTAATGCTTCTACTACATTAAAGATTATATTGTGGAGAGTAAGGCAGGAACAGACTGGAAGGGGAGGTAGGTGGGGAAGGGCTCTGAACTCCCAAGAGGAGTTTGTAGTTGATTCTGGAGGTGATAGGGAGCCATGGAAGTTTATTGAGGGAGTAGGGTGACGTGCATTGCTCTAGTGCTCCTTCACCATATGCCCAAAAAGATCTCTAAGAAACCTTGATTTAGGGGCAGGGCCTATTCCCAAATTCCATCAATCAATCTGGGAAGGGTCTCTGAGGACATTTCATTTATTTATTTATTTATTCTTTGCGTGGAGCTTAAGCTTCAACATTTATTAAGGGTAAACTATGTGAATATGGAAAAATTAAATAAGATACCACACTCAACAGGAGATTACAGTCTAGTGGGGGATGACAGCTACAAAAATAACTGGGACAGTAATGCCCATTTCCTTAATGGGTGTTAATATGAACATATAATTCTCATATTACCCCTCTTCACAAATTCCACACAAACTGTACAGATACATCTTGGGTGTCCCTTGCCTTCCCTCTATCCTTTTCTCTTGTCAAAGTATGAGGCTTCCATGAAAGCTCATATTAAATATTATCCCCTCCTTTTAATTCATTTTGTAGGCTCTTAGAAAGTTCATCAGCTTGGTAGATAATTGGGCATACTGACTAGATCTAACACTGTTGTTGGAGCTATGAAGCTACAAATCTTTGACCCAGAAAGCTCCTTGGTCAACCTCCCAAAGAGTTATTGAAGGGATAGGGGGAGAGGGAGATGCAAGAATATTAATCAGTGATTTTATCTGTAGTAACGAAATACTAGAAAAAAAAAACTAAATGTACCAAGTATCGGTGAATTGTTAAATAAAATATCTTAATAGAATATTATTGCACTGTAGAAATGATAAACATGGAAAGATGGAAAAATTTCCGTGGAGTACACCAAACAAAAAACAGAATCCGGGCATGCACACTGCAATTTTAATTTAAAAGAATATCAAATACATTTTGTACACAAATGGGAAAGTCATGAAAAAATGGGACGCAGAGTAACAAGAGTTCATGTATTTTGTTCAAGTTAAAGCCTTGTTGAGCACCAACAGTGTGCAAAAACAAAAAATGGAATAATTCCTTCCCTTAAGAAGCCTTCATCTATCTCTATTTCCATACATAGACAAAGTTGATATCGATGTACTAAGCAGTTCATACAAACAGAGCATGGAGACAGAATAGTATAGTGGGTAGAGGGTGGATCTTGGCATCAGTAGTATCTGTCTTCAAGTCATTCCTCTAACACATCCCGGCTGTAGGACCCTGAGCAAATCACTCTACTTCTCTGTATGCCAGGTAACATTCTAAAATCATAATTAATGTAGTAGTTGCCATTCTGTATCAGTGGAGGGAGGTCCCACGCCAGGAATTCCTCACACTGCATGAATCACAAGGCTAGACTGAAAATGAGAAATAAACATCTAAACTCTTGTTAAAGCTTATAGAGGGGGAAACAGAGAGGTTAATTGAGTGACTTGCTTCAGACAGCAACAAGTGAGTATCTGAGGCTTAGATCTTCCTGGCTCCCAGTTCAATACAGTAGTCACTCTTAGACCTAGATGCCTTTATGTGCCATTAAATAAGATGGAGGAAAAATGGTTAGGAGAAGAACCAGGAGTCTGCATTGTCACCTTCAGGCTTTGCTGACTCCCCTTGATGCCTTCCCTCTGAGGCTATCTCCAGTTGATCCACTATATTTCTTGTTTGTATGAAGTTGTTCACACGTTGTCTCCTCCACTTAGGACAAAGCCTGGCACACGGTGGTGTCTAATAAATACTTACTGATTGACTGAAGCCAAAGGTGGAGAAAGGAGTATCCAGAAGGCTAGAGTGGTCAAAGGTGTCAACAGCTACCCAAGTTAATGAACTCGAGATAGGAGCAAAGACCTTTGACTTAGTGATAAGGAGATATTGTTGACCTTTGGTAAAGGTTTCAGCAGAGTGGTGGGGACATAAGGACAGGAGCCTGATTACAAGAGGTAGAGGAGAGAGTCCCAGGGGAATGGAAGTATCAGCTATAGATGATTTCTTCACTAAGTGAAGGAGAAGAGAGAGGAGAGACAGTAACTTTGGTTGGAAGAGTTAAGGGAAGGCTATTTTTAGTATAATAATAATTATCATAGGTAGCATTTCTATAGTATTTTAAGATTTGTTAAGTGCTTTACAAACATTATCTCATTTGATCCTCACAATAATCACAGGAGATAGGTGCTATTATTTTTCCCATTTTACACATGAAGAAACTGGGGCTGAGAAAGGTTAAGTGTGTGTGAGAGAGAGAGAAAAGAGAGGAGGAGATGGTGGGAGGGAGAGAGAGGGAAGGGAAGAGAGGCAGGAGAGAGGAAAGGGAGAGGGAAGGAGAGAGAGGGGAGAGAAAAAAACAGGGAAAGGGGAAAGAAGGGAGCAAAGAGGGGAAAGAAAGGGGGAGAAGAGAGACAGAGAGAAAGAGACAGGAAGAGAGAGAGAGAGGGAGAGAGAGGGACAGAGGGGGGGGAGAGAGAGAGAGGGGGAGAGACAGGGAGAGAGAGAAGGAGAGAGAGAGAGGGAGGGAGGGAGAGAGAGAGACAGAGACAGAGAGAGAGACAGGGAGAGAGAGGGAGGGAGGGAGAGAGAGGGAGGGAGGGAGAGAGAGAGAGAGGGAGGGAGGGAGAGAGAGAGAGAGAGAGGGAGAGAAAGATGTGTTAGGTCTTGAAAAATTAGAAACAGCTCCTGTTTTTCAGGAATTCTGCTGTTCTTCACTGCACTCAAGACTCAGGATTAAAGGAGAGGACAGAAGCAACTTTGAACAAATATGCTAATTAAACCGACAATAATACTTGAGAAATATGTGCAGGCCAAGAAAACTGTATGGTGTCAGGTGGAAAAAACAGATGCAGATTATTCATTTGTTAAACACCAGGAGACTATGTGTAAGGTCCTGTGTTGAGAGGCAGCAGACTCTCTTGACCTTGAACATTATTAGACCTTTAGTCATGAAGATCTGGGTTCAAATCCTGCCTCTGATATGTTATAGCTATAAAGTGATAGGTAAGTCATTTGAGCACTTGACCTTTATCTTTTTTTTAAATTTAAATTCAAAAGAAGAAAAGAAAAAAAAAAGTATTGCCATATATACAGCGGAACATAAGGGAAAATTCAATATAAAGCAATAAACTTCTATTTCAAGAAAACCTGTATAGTAAACACTACACATTGTTTTCAAAGCTACTCAGCTTTTCTTTGCTTCTTTTTTGGTTTTCTTTTTGTTCTCACTGTGCACTTTTTACTTTTTTTTCCCTCCTTTAAACTCCCCCCCCCCCGCCCCAAAGAAGGTTACAATTAAGCCTGGATATATATTCATATGCACATATATACACACATACACTTATACACATATATGTAAGATTGTACTGTGCTTATTTCCACCTGTCCTCTGTTTCTCTGAAGGTCGATAGCATCTTCCTTCGTAAGTCCAAGTCTTTCCAAGTTTTCCTAAATCAAACAGCTCATCATTTCCTATACCACAGCAATATTCCAACCCAATCACATCCTATCTGAGAGACTGTCTATGAAAGTTTTTTTCCCAATTTTCCATATTCCTTCTGTTCTTGGCTACATAGGTTTTATTTATACAAGAAAAATTTAATTTAAAATAATCAAAATTATCTATTTTACATTTCAACAATGCTCTCACCTTATAATATGGTTTAAGGTCTGATACTGCTGAATCTACTTCCTTTATATCTTTTTCCCTGGTTTCTTTTAAGTTTCTGACCTTTTGTTCTTCCAAATGAACTTTGTTATTATTTTTTCTAACTCAGTAAAATAATTTTAGTAGTTTAATTGGGATGACATAGAATAAAATAGATTAGTTAGGTAAAATTATCATTTTAAAAATTATATTGGCTTTACCTGCCCATGAATGATAAATATTATTTCAATTATTTAGATCTGAGTTTATTTGTATAAAAAGCATTTTATGTTTATGTTCATATAGTTCCTGTATCTGTTTTGGCAGGTATATGCCCAGGTATGTTATAGTCTAGTTATTTTAAGTGGTCTAAAACAATACTGAATAATATTGCTGACACACCATGTAGTTTCTCTATTTTTCTCTTTTGATTAAATCTATTTTAACTTTAACTTTATGTGAGATCATGATTACTACCCCGATATCTTGTATGATAAATTCTACTCCTACCCTTTATTTTATCTTTGTGTGTATCTCTCTTTTTTATAATGTTTCCTGAAAGCAACATACTGTTGAATTCAAATTTTTAATCTGCCAACCATTTCCATTTTGTGGGTAAATTCATCCCATTCACATCCTAAGCTACAATTACTTGTTGTATATTTTCCTCCTTCCTATTTTTCCTCACTATCCTTCTCACCCTATTTACCCTATCTCTCCTCACTCCTCTGCTTTACTTCTACCCACTACCTTGC